TTTTTCTTTATTGAATTTTACGATGTGACATGAAATAACATGATCCTAGATATCACCAAGCATTTTCAAATACACAAAGAGCCCAGAAATTTCACAATAAAAGTAATTTTTATCAATTATTATTTTCACCCTTTATTTAAAAGTATCGAACAGTTATTCGGTATCGAGTTAGCAAATTGAGTAGAATATAATATAGTTGTATTTGTTTTCGAAATTGAGATTTACATACTTCACTTATCGCCCCTACAGTAAATTAAATATTAAATCATATCATGGTAGCACAAAATAACCAAAACAAATGAACTACTTCTACCCAAGAAGTACGAATAAGTTACCATAACATTAACAATTGCTTTCTTGTATACAAGTTTTGCACAAAAATTGCGTTTAGCGATCGGAAAATGATGTCAAAAGTTCCTGGCGCAACGGTCGTCTCTGATTGGTTGAATTTCTCCAGTTCCCGGCGGATTTTACATTACACTCCGTGGTGTGATACCATTCTATAAGTTGTTTTGTTGCTACTTCCAAGAAACAAAATTAACAGGTTATCTTTGGAGAAAAGCCTTAATGCCAAAAAAGGGAGAAGTAGCTGATTATGGTAGATCAGACTATGATTATCATCCGATGACAGTCTTCCTCTAGGGAGACAGTGGTGTTGTCGCCGTGAAAGTTGTTCTCCGGAGCCAAGTTGGGCCATCAAGGCTGTTCTCCGAAGAATATCCAATGAACTAGAATTATTAGGAGCCAAACGACTTTAAGTAAATAAAATTAAATAAAAGTACTTACAAACTACACTTGATATGAAATTCAACGCATTTCACTATTGCAGGGTTTCTTAAACTGTGGATCGCGAGCCTCCGAGGGTGTCGCGGGACGTGCAGCCGGGGTCGCCAAAAATTTTAGCAAATTTTATATTTCTTTAATTAATTATAATAACTTTACAATGAGATACATTCCGATGACCTCATTGATCACGTGACTTATGTACAGCGTGTTTTGTTCTATGTCTCAAAATTAGAAATTAAAGTTAATGACCTAAAACTGCAGTAGTATATTACAGTTCAAGTGAAAAAAAACTTGACAATTTCACTCACGCGTGTGTCGGATTTGCGCAATACTTATGGGGGTCCCACAAAATTTTTGTAAATATTATGGGGTCCTGTGGGTGGCAAAACAATCTTAGTGATAAAAAGGGGTCGCGACTGAAAAACGTTTAAGGAATCCTGCTCTAATGAATCGAATAAATGAACGTATGAAATTTACCAAATTGTAATTAAAGTCACATGCTACTGCATGAATGAATGCATAAATGCTGGAAATTGTAATTAAAGTCACAATAAATAATAACTCAAGCAAGCAACTCATGTCTGGAAACCCGTTATTTTCATATCTTAATCATATCATGCTTGCATGGTTAGGTTCCTTCTTGCTTCTCTTTAGTAATTTACTATGGCTCATAATTATTATTATTTTTTGTAATATTGTCTGAACCTACTTTTCCGACCAGCAAATTGTCTAGCCTTAAAAAGATGTGATCTCGGATATTACGAAATCACTTTTCTCAATGAAATTGCTCTATTCTATTTGCCGTTCCTTCTCATCGAAGTTTGAGACCAAAAAACAAACAAGTTCAGTTCCAACCCAGTCCTCCATCAGCAACCAATCCCTGGACTAACAGAAGACAAGACTTTCCTCCGCTGACATCCAACAGTAACGAACGAAAATCTCTCTCAAACCTCCATTTAAAACGAAAATCTAACAGAAGAAACTACCAGCGAAGCAGAAGCCTCCCTGTCAGACCTCTTTGACTTCTCTTCGCTAAAAACAATCTGGACAATAGTGATACAAGGACTCAAAAACATTAAAACCAAGAAATCACCTCTTGATAAAATAATCGCAGTAGTCGAAATCATTGAAAAAATAGGAAATCATCTTTAATTCTAATAAATTCAAGAACAGATGCAACATAAAAATCCTCTCTTGGAACGCTAACGGTCTTTACCATAAAAAAGATGAATTATCCAACCTCATTATTGAAATTGAACCTGACGTAATACTCATACAAGAGACTCACCTTAAACCAGCACTCAAAGTACTTTATGCTAATTATAACACCTACCGTACGGATCGTGAGACAGGAAGAGGCGGTGGCATCATCACATTTGTTAAAAGGAGCATAAAACACGCTCAAATTCCTAATCCCAGCACCACTTTCGAAAGTAACACAATAGAAATTGTAATAGAACATAAAAAATTCAAAATTTCGAATATATACATCCCACCAAATAATAATCCCAGCGCACAAGAATTGATTCACCTCCTTAATTCTAATACTTCTACCATTGTCGGAGGGGACTTCAACGCCAAACACCCCTGCTGGAACCGAGGACCTGCTAACAAAAAAGGAAATGACATATTTAAACTCATTCAATCAAATAATTATAACATTCATGCTCCAGACGAGCCCACCCATTACGGGTACAATAGCGCCACCACAATTGACTTCTTCATCTCAAATAACATTACTAACAGATGCAATATCTCTGTAATTTCAGCCCTGTCTTCCGACCACAACCCCATTGTATTTGAAATCCCCATTAATAAATACCTCCCCTCACTTGACAGAAGTATAGGAGTTACAAATTGGATCAAATACTCTGAAATTCTGAATAACTCCATACAAGGTAACCCATGCATCAACAACAAAGAAGATTTAGAACACGAAGTCTCAAAATTTACCAACAGCATCAATTCTGCTTTAAAGGAAGCCACCAATACTTTTTATGTGAACAAGCCTTTCCTTCCCCTGCCTGCCGATATAAGAAATAGTATTAAAGAGAAAAACCGGATCCGTAAAAGATGGCAAACCACCAGGGATCCACAACTCAAACACGAACTAAACTCTATGCAAAAAGAAATCAACAGAAGAATCAAGAACTTCAAAAACCAAAAATGGACCAATTTCCTAAATAACCTAGCTATAGAGGACAATTCCCCTATTTGACATTTCCCGCAAATTCAAGAAACCTTATAAACCTATTCCACCTATCCATGGACCTAGTGGAATTTCATATACAGAAGAAGATAAAGCTAAATCTTTTGCGGACTATATGGAAGATACATTCACTCTTAATCCCACTCCGTACGACAATAACCATATTGAACGGGTCAACCAGGTGGTCAATAACTTCCTTAATACCCCTGCTCCGTACAACTTCACTTTCCTGACTACCCCCAACAATCGTTGCCAACACCATCAGCGCCTTACAAACGAAGAAGAAAGCCCCAGGGCACGATGGCATGGCATCTCGACCAAAGCACTGAAGCATCTTCCGATCAACGCTCTTACCTGCCTAACTAAGATAATCAACAACATTATCAAATTCGCTCATTTTCCTAACTCATGGAAGCAAGCTATATAATAATTGTTTTGCTAAACCGCAACAAAATCCAACTCTCCCACAGAACTATCGCCCTATCAGTTTACTTAGCCACCTGTCTAAAGTTACTGAGAAAATCCTACTTTTCCACATCCAAAAAATTCACCCTTCCATGAATTTTCTCCCAGAAGAACAATTCGGTTTTCGTAATCATCATAGCACTTGCCACCAACTTCTTAGAGTTATCAACATTATCACTGAAGGCTACAACTGCAAGCTTCCGACCGGTGCTATATTTCTCGATATCGCGAAAGCTTTTGACAGGGTATGGCATCGAGGCCTTATTTACAAACTAATCACTCTCAATTTTCCAGATCATTTTATTCGCTTAATAGCCTCTTTTCTCAGCAACAGAACATTCAGAATCAAAATCGGTACTGCTTTACTCTACCACCAGAGTAATCGAAGCTGGTGGCCCACAGGGATCGGCACTTTCGCCGTACCTTTTTAATATTTATACACAAGACATCCCTAAAGACCTTTCTGTTCATCTTGCACACTTTGCCGATGACACCGCCACATTTACTAAAGCCTGCACAGTTATCGCCATAAGAAACCAACTACAAAACTATCTCATCAAACTGGAAAAATGGCTCACCCTTTGGAGGATTAAAATAAACACTGATAAATCTAAGGCAATAATTTTGCGTAAAGGAAACATGAAATACTATCCTCCACCCCTGGATTAATGAAACCAAATACCTTGGAGTCACCCTTGACCAAAAACTTACCTTCAGAACCCATTTCCGGTCCGTAGTACAAAAATTTAAAATCACCACAGCTACTATGCGACCTCTTCTTGGTAGAAAAAAGCAACTTATCTACTACAAACAAATTAATTCTATATCGCTCCATACTGCGCCCAGCTCTCCTTTATGCAGCACCGATCTGGGGACATGCAGCTAAAACCAATATTAAACATTTAGGAATTCTACAAAATAAAATTCTACAAGAAATTATCAAAGCTCCTTGGTATATTCCCAACATCTGTCTTCACAGAGACTTTCGAATCGAACTTATTCAAGAGTGTATTAAACGATTAGCGGTCAACTTCTTTTATTCAGCACAAACCCACAGTAATAGCCTTATTAGCACTCTCAGACACTCCTCGCGTCCCAGAGAAAAACATTGTTACCCTTGTGACATCCTTCCCACATAAGAATCGAATCACAACCTTAATTGACTCATTCACGCTAAACTGACTCTGCGGTTTTACCATTCGCGGCTACATCTTATAACGACACTGAACTTGACACCCCTCCTTTTTTCGCCGCCGCTAGTGCGGACGTCACTCTCTTTCATCCGCCTCCCACACTCCTTTCACCCTTCTCTTTCTCACCCCACACGATCTTTATCAGAAGCCGAGTAAAAAGATGTTTCTACATCTTGACACTCGAGAATAAAATACAATCTGTGTGTGTCGAAGTTTGATTTTTCTTCCTGCGGGCAGGAAGTCTTAATGAGTGCAAAACAAGACATCTGTCTTATTTGTCTGTCTGTCTGTCGAATAAGTTCTTGTGCTGTGCAGCATTGACAAGATGGACGATTTAGCAATCGAAGTATGCGGTGAAAACGGCGCGTACTACAAGGTACCGAACTTGCTGACATAGTTGTTTAATACTTATACATACGTTTTTTAGTGTTTTTTCAAATATGTTATGTATATCAGCGAGCTTATGTTCTTAGCGAGAAAACTATCCTACTACTATTTAATGTTAAATTATAAAGCAGTTTCGCATGTGCTAAAAATGAAAAATAACACATTAAGAAACTGTTTAAATGTTGCAACAGTAATAGCACTGATGCATTGTCAGGCATAGTTCCGTTGCAAACTGTTCATAATATTAAATAAAAATCTTCGGGATTTTGTGCTTTAATAGCGAAACCGATGCTTTTTTCATGTAATTTCTCCCGAAATGCATGGTGTGTGGTATGGAGTCAGATTTTAAGATTTTTCACCGTAGCAGAAATATTAAATTCTAATTTTCTTTTATCAAATACTAATTTACATTTCTTTTAATATCGTATCTAATTAAGGTAAAAGTGCTTTTATGTATCGTACTTGGATATAACTGCATATTAATATACCGTTTGAACAGTATTGCTGAATTTTTCATGCTAGGTATAATGAATAGACACTGAAAATAATATTTAATCAGTTTTGGGAGTTAAAGAATTAAAATTGCACATAAAATGCTCTAACTGATAATGTTTGGCTTTTGTAGCAAAGAAAATTATAATTGCATTGTATCTATGTTGGCATTTTTTAGTATGCAAAATTTTTATCTGGAAATGCATGTATTGTTGCTTCCTATGTCTGAATAAATTCATGTAACATTTAGTATATATAGTTAAACAGGTAATTGTTTAATATGCCATCTGCAGATTCATTGGATTTTAAATATTTCTTTTTATTCAATGTTCCTTTTTCTTTTTTATGTTTGAGTTCGTAATCTCTAAATTGGAAGTAATATATAAATTTCGCTTCAAACACAAGACAAGCTACAACATTGGATACATTTTTCATTTTGTTAAAGCCTTGTACAGTGTGTGCAGTTGCAGATAGAAGTGAGTAGGATAACAGAATTTTACAATTGGTTTTACAGGTATAGTACTAATTGTGCAGCTCCATCCTAATATTCAGGGAGAATATCCTAAGAAAGGGCAATCCAAAGGTTTCTCACTCTTCTTTCCATCCACACCAGACTCTAGAGAGGGCTTTTGCCTTGCACTATATTTTGAGTGCGCCCATGCTGCAGAGACACTGTATGCTTACACACATTCATGCCTTTTGCAGGATTCAAACTTGGGCCCATGTGTTCATCTGACCGAGTCACTATCAAATATATGCCCGGGCAGCTGCAGAGTGTACACTAAAGAATGATACAGTTTCAAAACTTAATAGGAAATTTGTTTTTCACCTGTACAAGGACATAGCATATACTATTAGAAACAGTAACTCTCCACTTTTGTCATATTTTGATTACAGATTTTAGAGCATATATTCTGGGTCATATGTCTGCACAATATTCAAATTTGTGTCAAAATCGGTGCATTTTGTCCATTGTCATGACCTGTAGTACATGTATTATCCAGTCATAAATCTCGTGAAAGTATGTGATCAGTGGTGGTACATAAATGCAGTTTTTGGCTTTAGTGGTATCTCCCCTTCGATTAGTGACTAATTTTGGCAATGAAACCCCATTTCTGGTTACCGTGATAGTTTTAACTTTGTTTTAGCTTCCTGATTTGTTTTCTTAAGTGAAAATAAATCTATGTGTACATGGGCAAAGGCAGTGCGTAATGTGTAGTTTGTGCAATTCTGTAATTTTTTTAAGTGAAATTAGATCAATGTGCACATGGACACCGAGTTGTGCAATTATTGGACTTATTTTGGCTTTGTGTAGTGGCCATCTTGAAATTGTGGCTTCCTGGTGCTGATCTTGGCATCGAAAAAGAATCACTAAAAAGACAAGGGGAACCCAATTGTAAACTTTTACTCAGTTTTTAACTATCTCTTGAAGAAAGCATTTATTTCATGATCCAGCAAATGGGTGAGCCAAGACTCTAGGTTATCTTTGTTTGTAGTATGTCTGGTCTAATACTATGAAAGAACATTATTGAGAAGTATTAGCTCATTTCTGTGAAAATGTGGGAGGATAAGAGCTCACCAGATTGTAGAAGTTGTAGAATAATTAGTCAAAAGTCGTTAATTCGGACACCCATAATCCAGAATGATCTATAATCCGGACCTCAAAGCTAAAAACTTTCTGTGCATGCGCCGCATCAACACATGCGCATAGGCGTTTACGCGTGCGCATAAGACCTTTTACGACTGCACATATGCGTGTGCACAAGTGCAGAATACGTTTTCGCGTGCGCGTTTTATGTATAACGTCCGGTATAAGCTAAAATTATCTAATTATCTATTTCAGTTAATGTTGATGATTGCGTTGTTCCTTAATCTTTGAATTGGATCCAGATTATTATTTTTTGCAGACTGTAAGAGCAATACTATAAAAGTAAACTTGAACTTTCGATTATGTCAAATAGAATTTCCGATTCTGGAGCTCCTAAAGGATCGTACAAAACGAAAGTATGTTTCGATGTCCATCAAACAAAAAGTGGAATTGTTGCAAAAAATGGATAAAGACATGAAGAAGGTGACAGAGAGGTTAGTGAAAACGAAAAAATTTCGATTGACAAGTTAGTCGGTATTCTCGGCACAGCATTTAACGGGACTTGAACAACGGAACTTTGTAACTGAATGAGAAATTATGTCTGTTTATAGAATTAAAGAGAAAGTATTATCACATAAAACGAAGCAACTTAAACAACTTACATTGAAAGAAATGTTTAATAAAGTAAACAAATAAATATTAAGCTTTTTTTTTTTTTTTTGTAAATTTTGATACCCTTTAGATCATAATTGTTCTTTATTTCATAAATTACGGTTTCATATTTTTAATTTTAGAATTTCTGCATGCCATCTTACCAGATTTAAACTGATGATCTATAATCCGGAAAAATCGATAATCTGGAATCGCCGAAGTCCCGACGAGTCCGGATTAACGACTTTTGATGAAATTCGGGTATATATTTTTTCACTGTGTCCAGAAAAGTGTAATTGAAGAGTTATCAAAATGTAAAGTGTTTCCAGTCACATTGCTTATCAGAATTATCTGGTTGTTCAGAAAGTAATGTCATTTTCTTTTTAACCGCTTGCCTGATTATCCCGAGTTATCCTGGGTTTGTATATATTGCTGTTAATTATTATCCCGAGAAAACTTGGGCAAAGCAGAATTTGTCAGTACGATTTGTTTTATCACGGTTTTACTCGGGCTGGAGGAAATGAAAGGAAATATTCAGCTTTTATTGGCAGTTCGGCAAGTTTTGTTGGTTTTGCGGTTCTTTTGGCGGGACTGGTCACATGTTTTCCCCGTTGTCTTGTATATGTCGGCTTGTGGATTAGTAATTTGTAAAGAATGAAATTTGCATTGAAAAAAGTAAAATAATGCCAATGATGCAAGGTAGCGAAAGCGATGATTTTTCAGATAGCGATTATAACTTCAAGGCATTTTCCAGATGTTATTTCTGATACTGAAAAAAACCCAAATCCAACGAGAGTTTTCTCTGTGCTCCCGTAAAAGAAGATTCCAGAGTTGAGCCAGTAATAAAAGAGACCAGATACCAGTGTATAGAATGTCAGGTATCACTCCCTCCCTTGTTTTCCCTTGTTGTGTTCTTCCTTATTTCAAAAACTCTCATACAACGACTAACCGGCTGATCTTTGGAATATGGTAACAGGTAGTTTGGCGACATTTTGGTAAGGCAATAAAGGTTACTAGCTAGGACTTTAACAGTGTTCATGGATAAAGTCAAGAATGTTGCGCAATGCCATTTTTGTGCAATTCTGGGATTTTTTTTAAGTAAAAATAGGTTGACGTGTACATGGATATCGTGTATGTGTAATTCTTAAAAACGCGGCAAGCAGTGGGCGATTCTGCACTTTCTTCCAATTTCGAACCTAATGTTCGTCATGATTAAGCACTTTTGTTTCATAAAAGTTCTAGCATAAGCGTAATTCGGCTAGTAGATTGTTGGAAAAAAATGTCGAGTAAAAAAAAACATGCCTTTACTTCGTGAAAACAAAAAATGGCGTCCCCCCCAAAAAAACTAGCAGGTTTCTGTAGCAGGGTTGGTTGCCAGATTTTCGCCAAAAATCGCCAAGTTACCATAATCCGAAGATCAACCTTAAAACCTCTATATTTTGTTTTGTTTCATTTTCTTGTATTTAATAATAAAATAAAAAAGTTATGATTTTTTGCAATTTTTTTCAAAAAAAATTTTAAGGAAAGCAGTTAATCACCAGACAGATCAGTTGCATTTTTAACAACCAACTTCATTTTAAACTATATTGTCATTATATATTTTTATAGCTGATATTTCAAGGCCCATTTGTAAAAAAAAAATTGTTTGATTCTGTGCCAGTTGTGTTTTTCTTCTCCCTTGCGTGTCCTATCAAATATACAAAATCAGAAGCAGAATTTTTGGCATATTTTGCTTTTGTTATAACCAAAAAGGTAAGAATAATGTTCAAGCAGAACAAAAAAAAAAAAAAAAAAAAAAAAAAAAAAAAAAAGATCAGCTGATAGACCATTACCAAAATTGGTTTGCAAAATTTCATTCTGAAGATTTGAATATTTACCACATCCCAGAAGGCCAGCTGAAGCTGATGAAGACAAAATATAGGTATTGATTGAAGCAAACTGCCAAACAACAACATGAGAAATTGTTTAAAGATTAAATTTATCGAATTCAACCATTTATGGTCATGTGGTTTCATTTCAAAGCTTGATGTATGAATTCCAGATGTTTTTCAAGATTTGCTGTGCTACATTAACGTCTGTGATTTTACTTCTCAAACGTCAAAATAATGAATCATAACACCTGGGATTAGAAATGAATTGTTTACAATAAGACAGTAGAAGTCCAGAAATCCACAAAGCTTGGGAACCAGATGTTGTGCGGATTTCAGAACAGAAAAGACATAATATTCTGACTAAAAGTGCAAAATAAATAAAGCGTA